ACACATACATGACAAACGAACCACAGGCCAAAACACTGGCCATTAAAACGACAATCACAACCCCGCCACAAAACAGAAAACACGCTTACACACACCCTTCACGACACATCTCCCGCCACGAACATAAGGTATGTGAAATTTGAAGATGCCGACTGGAAGCTGGAGGGCGCGAACGAACCCGGCCTTTACCCGGTGCTGCCCGACTCGCGCACCTGGAAACTGGACAAGGGGCGAAAGCACGCCATGCTGAAGGTCAGCCGGAAACAGATCNNGCTGCAAATGAGCCTAGCCCCGGCACACACGATTGCATTTGCAAAAGATGAAGAAATCGCAGCAACACAACGATCATAAACACAAAAGCCAAGCCCGCCCCAGGAAGGCCGTCATGCTGGACCTGAACGTGGACTCCAAGATCCACGCCGCCTACGGAACGGTGGTGGCCAGCCGCGTCCGAGACAGATCGGACGTGCTGATCCTGCGGCCCTTCCCGCTCTGGCTCTTCCAGCGCGGCGCCACGGAAGGGCCCTCGCTGCTCCTAAGCAAGCTCCGAGGCGAGCACATCGACTGGCAGGCCATGCACGACGCCCGCTGGCCCAAGGCCCGCTGCCAAAGCTGTAAGGAGCTGAAGAGCTGGGACGTCTTCGCCTTCGCGCAGTGGGAGATGGTCCGAGCCAACCGCGGCGGCCAGTGCCTGGCGTGCCAGCGCGGTTCCATCGGCATCAAGGGGCCGCTGAAGCGGAGCATCAACGCGACGGCAACCCTGGCAAAGAGTGTTGCCTGCAGCCGCTGCCACTTCACCAAGGTCGAAGAAGCTTTCCCACGGGCCCAACTGGCACAGAAGGATGCCAACACCAAGCGCCAATGCTGTGCGTGCCGGCTCGGCGCCACCCAGCTGAACTGCGCCGTCTGCGGCAAGCGAAAGCCGGCCAAGGACTTCTCGCCGACCATGCGAACCATGGCGGACGACACCCTCGCCTGCATCGCATGCCAGCAGCAGCTCTCGGGCAAAGCCAAGCGCCTGCGCACGGGCTGGTTCTTCTGTAGAGGCTGCAACGAAAGCTTCCCCAACAAAGCCGCCGGCAACGACGAAGGGAAGCATTGCCTGAACTGCTCCATCCGCGGCACACGGCAAACCGGATGGCAGACCTGCAGAAACAGAAAGTGCGGAAACCGCTTCCAAGCAACAGAACAGGGTTTGTGCCCGGACTGCAGACCCCGACAGCGACCACCACGGCCGAGGAAGACCAACAAGATGTGACTCAACTCCAAGGTTCTGTCCTGAAAAGCAACCGCCCCTCAGTTTCACTGCTCGTACAGTCAAGACGCGCGAAGCCACGGCCCAGTCAGCGGTTGAAAAATGCGCGAGCTGCAGAGAGAACCTGAACATGTCAAAACTACCCGATTCCACACGTCATTCGATTAAAAGCTCGGAATCACATCGATGCTACGAGAAGCAGAAAGTGTCGCGAGCCAAATCGATACTATACTTGTTCCCGAAAGCTGAAAGGTTATAAGAAGCACAATTCGAAGCCAAACATCTACGCTCATATAAACGTGTCATGATAACTCCTGCAACAACACCCCCCCTAACGTCCACAACAGGCTCAAGTGACACCATTCGAACCCAACCAAACCTAACATGAATCACTACAAGTCCTAACATGAATTCAGCAAAGTGAGTCAGCCTAGGTCAAACGGTGGCAACAACTGGACAACTGGCGGCTGAGCGGGCTTGGCAGAATCATCAATCCGCCCGCCCAGCCCAGTCACTGCCCAACCCCAGGGAAGCCCACCCCAACCCAAACCCCTAGAGATCTAATTCAACTCTCGCTAAGCCTCAACAAAGAACTAATTATAAACCTAAGCCCCCAAAACTTATTTGTTTTGGCTTTTTGCCGCGCCACTCCCATACCCCCAGCATCTGATGTTTAAGCTTTTTTTTCGTACCAGCCAAATGTACACTCTGGACACTTGCCAGGCCCTGTCAATGCCAGCATAATTGTGTTTTTTTTTGCCACTTGCAACACCCTGCCAAGCTCCCAAATTGGGGTTAGCTTTCAGCCCAAAATGCGCTTTTGAGCCTTTTCGCCACGCCCCACCCATGCACTCAAAATTGACGGCTTCTGCCTTTTACCACCCCCCCCCTTACCGTCCAAGCCCCAAAAATTTGTACCAAGCCTTCCCCCGCCCGTCAAAATAAGCTTTTTGCCCTGTTGCCAGACACCGTCCAAGTTTAGCCTTTCCAAACGACACCTTTCCAAGCGGGGGGGGGGAGAGGAAGGAAGGAGGGAGGGGAAGAAGGAAAGGTGCGGGGGAGGAGGGGGGGAGAGAGGATGGGGTTGAAACCCACCCCCAACCCCTCCGAATTAGCTTTTTGGCCTTTCGGGCGGCTTGGACGAACTTGGCAAAAATCCCAAAAATCAATTTGAAAAGCTTTCACGAATCCGCCAAAAAGCCAAAAATCAAATTTGAAAAGTTTAAAGTCCAGGAGGCCAGAAGAAGGGTGGGAAGGTAAGAGGGCGGGGGAGGGGAGGAAAGGCGAAGAAGGGTGCGAGAAGGGGGGGGGGGGTTGGAAGTGTTGCCACCAAAATTGAACTTTCGGCCTGCTACCAACACCACCCCCGCAGCCCCTCCAAATTAGCTTTTTGGCCTTTCGGGCGGCTTGGGCAAAAATCCCAAAAAACAAATTTGGGTTTAACGAATGCAAAAAGCCAAAAATCAAGTTTGAGCCGACAAGGAGGGGAGGGGCGGGAAAAGGAGGGGGGGAGCGGGGGGGGGAAGGAGGAGGGTCCAGATTGGCTTTTTGCTTTTTTGCACTTAGACATACCTGGCACAAAAATCAAAATTGAAAAGATTAAAATCAAGAGGCCAGAAGAAGGGGTGGGAAGGTAGGGGAGCGGGGGACCCCCCCCCCCAGCCCCTTCAAATTAGCTTTTTGGCCTTTCGGGCGGCTTGGACAAACCTGGCAAAAAGTCTAAAAAACAAATTTGGGTTTAACGAATGCGCCAAAAAGCCAAAAATCAAGTTTGAGCCGACGGAGGGAGGGAGGGGCGGGAAAACTTTTGGCCTGCTACCAACAGCCCCCCCCCTCCCCCAGCCCCTCCAAATTAGCTTTTTGGCCTTTCGGGCGGCTTGGGCAAAAATCCCAAAAAAAATTTGGCTTTAACGAATGCAAAAAGCCAAAAATCGAGTTTGAGCGGGGAGGGAGGGGCGGAAAAGGAGGAGGGGGGGAGGAGCGAAGGGAGAGTGTCCAAATTGGCTTTTTGCCCAGGAGACCAGAAGAAGGGTGGGAAGGTAGGGGAGCGGAGACGGAAGGAAAGACGAAGAAGGGGGATTCGCGGCGAAGGCCACTTTGAAAGTTTTTGGAAGCCCAACATCGTCCAAAATCACTAAAATGCCTTTTTTTTCAGCTTTGCGGGTGCAAACGAGTTGGCTTTTTGGGTGGAGGCAGGGCAAAAAAAGAGGGGAAAAGGCAGGGAGGGGAGGAGGGGGGGGGGCAGGGGAGAGGGGAGGGGAGGGGAGGAGCCCTCCACCCCTTCAAATTGACTTTTTGGCCTTTTAGGGGCTTTTTGGGCAAATTCAAAAATCAAATTTGTAATTTGGTTTTTTGGCCTGTTTGCAACCCTCCCAGCTCCCTAAAATGGGCTTTTTGGCCTTTTGCCAGGCCCCATCCAAGCCCCCAAAAAGCAACTTTGGGATTTTGGAAGGGCGGAGGGGGCCACCAAAATTCGGAAGGGAGGGTGGGGGCGGGGGGCAACCAAGCCCCTCCACCCTTCCAAATTGTTTTTTTGGCCT